AGCAACAGCCTGTCTTACCCGCCATGACTGCACCCCAACCTTCATCCCAACCCTCACCCTTCATCCCATGCTCCTCCACAGTGGCTGCCAGCTGCTCCCCAGCCTCTTGGGGTTGTGCTCCACAAAGTGGAGGGAAGAAGAGTCAGGATACAACAGCTTGCAAGGATCAAGGGGGAAAGAAATGCAGGAAAAAAGGGACAAAACAGTGTGGGATTTGGTGGTAAAGCACTGAGTGTTGCGGAGACAAGCAAGCAGAGAGAGATGTGGAAAGCCCTGGGAAGGGAGGGGCTCGGAGGAGAGACAGATTTTGGAGCTTTAAACAGAAAGATAATGTCTTCCTTTTCAGGGAAAGGAGCAGCGAGCCCCAGCAGTGGCCAGCATGGCACCTTGTGCCCAAGGGCTGGACAGGGGACCTAGGGGCATTCTCATGCATGGCTTTGCCAACCCAAATCCACCAGCAAAGCACCTAAGAGCCCTCCCAGTGATGCTGAGCCCCAGGGATGGTTAATTATTGTCACTTTCGATGGTTCGCAGCTCAACAACAACACGACCCCGGGCCAGGCCCTCGTGGTGGAGATCATCCTCACCTTCCAGCTGGCTGCATGCATCTTTGCGTCCACGGACAACCGGAGGAACAGCAGTGTGGGCTCTCCAGCACTGTCCATCGGCCTCTCCGTCGCCGTAGGGCACTTGGTGGGGGTGAGTGTCCAGGCAGGAGGACAGGGCAGAGGGTCCCACTAGGACAGGGCTCCCCAAAATACTCTCGTGCAGTTGGTCCCAGATGGAGCTGCACCGGGAGAGCCAACATAGGACATATGGGGGCTTCTTCTCTGTGATGATGGCGGGTCCCCACCTCTCTGCAAAAGAAACAGCGGTGAGGGCGGTTTCAGTCCCTGCTTCTGAAAAGTTGGTTGTATCTCCTAAGCAACATGATGCATCTTAACCTGGTCTCCTTTCTGCACTGACAGATCTACTTCACTGGCTGCTCCATGAATCCAGCCCGGTCCTTTGGGCCCGCAGTCATCGTGAGGAGGTTCAGCCCAGCACATTGGGTGAGCATTAGCAGCATGCTGGGACAGGCTGGCCGAGAGGCTGCCAGGGCCAGATGCAGGCAATGAGGGGAGAGGGCAGTGATTGCCGAGGAGATTACAGGGCTGGGTGTTTCAGAGCCCATCCCAGGCCTGAAAGGATAAAAGGGGGCTGGAGAACAAGGGAGGTTGTCCCCCTTGATGCATGTGGAACAGGTTATCCCCATGGCACAGACCCAGCAAGGAGACAAGCATAAACGCCCCATGCAATGGCGCACACTGAGCTAGGGCATCATCTGAGGTCGATGAAGCCCACAGAGAAGCCCAGCTTAGGCTTTCCACTTGCCCAGCACTGCCTGAAAGCTCAGACCCAGCCTTGCAGAGCAAGCTTGGTGCCTCCTTTCCAGCACACCACATCTCTGCACTCAAAGAGCTTTATGACTTCAGCAAGCAAAGGCTGAGGGGGTTTCAGCCCAAGAAGTCTACTGGAAGGGGTATTTGCATCTCTCCGTGGGCTAGGAGATGTGGAGCATCAAGGGATTCTGGTGTGATGATTGGACCTGGTGCACCAGACTCCAAGACCTGCTCTCACCCTCTCCCTTGTTGCTTTCTAGGTGTTCTGGGTTGGACCCATCCTCGGGGCTTGCTTGGCTGCTCTGCTTTACTTCTACATCCTCGTCCCCTACTGCATGAACATGTCAGATAGGGTTGCCATCGTCAAGGGCACCTACGAGTCAGAGGAGGAGTGGGAAGAGCAGAGAGAGGAGAGGAAGAAATCCATGGAGTTGACCCCACCGTAGGAACAGTTGGAAAAAAACAAGTAAAAGTACAGGAGAAAGCCCCTCACCTGGGCTCATGTGTGCACCAAAGTCAGGCAATGAACACATCCAGCTACAGTAGACTTAAGCAAAAGTCTTATAACTCCAAAACCATCTGTGACTAAGAAAGGAGTATTGCAGTGTCTGTGTATATAATCCCTCTACCTGAGTGTGAGCACTAGAACCTCTCTTAGCTTAACTGCAGCCAGCTAAGCCCAGCGACGGAGTCTCAGCCCAGGGCAGCCTCTCAGCTGTGGTTTTACACCCACTCAGCTGCATCCCTGCCCTCCTAGGTGCGAGTTTTGCACAATTTTCAGAGGCCTGAGACCGCACGTTCTGGTGCGCACAGAATTTCACCCCTGCCTCTGATGGCCCAGGGGATGGAAACACTGTGTAGATACCAGCAAAAAAGAATGACCGCTTTGGGCAGGTGGGTGCAGCAAAATCCCCTCCGCTTTTTCCCTGCCACAGGGCCCACGCTGCTCATAGATGCTCTTTCATGCATTCGCTGGTGCTGGCGAGTCCTATTTATTCACGGCTGCAGAAAGAACGTGATTTTTGGATTTTGTGTTGAGATCTTTGTAATATAGTATATTATTTATTGTGAATAAAGGAAATTTTAAAAAACTCACGGGTGCAAATCTGCTTGGGTATCAAATTTTAGGAGCAAAAATTGGTTAAGCTGGATGCAAAGCCATACCAAAGAGCCAGGGCAAGAGCAAGCGCTTGGACCCCAAATCCCATGGCAGCTGACACCACAAGCAGGTGGTTTGGGAAGTGATAGTCATTAATCCCAAGAAGGAGAAATGGGCACTAGTGTTGGAGTGGGGCAAGAGCAGGAGATGTCTCACAACAGGGTACCAGGTCCAGGGCAGTTTGAAGCCCATCTCCAAGGCTGGCTTGAGCTGGGAGGAGCCAGCAGCAATCCTTCACGCACTTTGCCGGTTTGACTCAGGCACGGCTTTCTGCTATACCAGTTCTCCCAGACAGCTCCACGGGTGCCCTCAAAAACTGACCCACAACACTCCCCAGCCCCCTCGCTGGGTGCCAAACCCACACCCTTGCCCTGACTTTCTGCTGTAGCCCTGCTCTTCCAGTTCTGCCACAACCCTCTGCCAAAGCATCTTGCTCCTGACCTGGGCATGGGGACACCGGGCACTGGCACCATCCCAGCCATCCCCCCCACCAGCTCCCTAAATCCAGCCCGATGCAAAGCTCCACCATCACAGCCCCTCTTCTTTCTGCAAAGATGTTTCTGCTGAGCATGAACCCCCAGGGTGGTGGGAGATGCTTGTCTGGGAGCTCCCCGATCCCAGATGCAGCTCGATCCCAATCAGACAGGTTATGCCACCTTCACATGGTAGTACCAGGGAGGGTAGGCAGCGTAACCTATATTTTAGCATGCCTAAGCAGATTTGCAATCCAGGCTGCGGTACTGCATGAGTTTGGGTAGCAGCAGATCCTTGCCTCTCATTTTGCTTTGCCCCCCCCAATTCTTAACAGAAGAGGTTGGTGACAAGCAGGAGGAGAAAAGGAGGTGGAAAAGCCCTTAGTTTGCGTCACAGGTCAGCTGCAGAGCTAGAAAGCTAAAAATGCAACCGCGCACCCTGTCTTAACCCTCCCACCTCACCCCTCCTCAGGGATGGGCTGAGATCTACAACACTTCTGTGCCTCAGTTTCCTCTTTCATAAGGGGAAGACTATTAAGCCCCTTCCTCAGTGGGAAAGGGCAGCATGGTCACACATAGCATGGGAGATGTGCTACAGACACCAGCCCCAGAGAAACATTAAAGCACCTCCAGATCCCAGAGACACCCCTCTCAGAGCAATCCACAGTGAAGCATGGGGCTGGGGCAGGTCAACATGCCCAAAAGCTGCATCCCACAGCCTCCTTCCACTGCACCCCTAGACCCTGAAAATGCACCCAAAGGGTGCATTCAGACACCACCCCCACCCCCCTCCCCCCAGAGCAGGGAATCCTGGGCATCCTACTTGCTTTGCTGCTCTGAACTCCATCCACCCTAGCACTGGAGAAGGGATCCAGGAGTCCTGGCATACTCCACACACCATCCTGTAGTGGGAATCAGGGAGTCCCCACAGCACCCCATGGAGGGGCCCAGCCCACACCAGCGTAATCAACAACCAAGAGAAGAAACCCAGCCTGGGTGTGAGTCCTCCGTGGGGATGAATCAGAGAATCGTGCGGCAGCAGCTTTGCGTCAGCACAAAAAGCATCCAGGGCCTGGCTCGAAAACACAGGCAGGATGGCCCCGCACAGGGCTGGGGTCAGTGGGAAGGGGAGCACAAGCAATTAACACCCTTCCCCAATGCACAGGCAGGGGCAGACCCTCAACCATGAGGTAAACGCAGGCTGGAGCCCAGTGAGCATGCCAGCGAAGCCAGCAGCATCCCTACACAGGGCAGAAGTCTAGTGCTCAGCACGAGCCCTGGCACACCTTCCCCACCCGGCTTCTCACTGGTCCTATGTTGCATTTAATCCAGACCAAACCCTGGCATCCAGCAAGTGCCATGACTTTGCCTTCACCGGGAAAGGCATGGAGCAGAGCCCAGGTCATGGCTGGGAAACCCTGAGGTCCTCCTGCCTGTTCTCACCTGCCCAGAAACAGGAACAGCAGCGCTTAAAAACCAAATAGAGAAATATTTTTTTTTAAACATTCAAGCTTCTCCAGCCCTATTTTTAATGAGATTGAAAGGCTGGTGGTCAGTAATAACAACACTCCCTTCGCAGAAATAGCTATTTCACAGAAAAAAACACCGTTCTTTCAAGAGACACAGCAAGGGCCGATATAATCCTTGCACATTCAAACCAGATTTACCTGTAGGGCACGATAATGCAGTCACAGCTATGCCACACTCATTTTCCCAGCTTCTCCCCCAAAACAGGAGTTTCCATTTCAGGAGCAATATCTCAGCACACCTCCATCCCACACACCCATACTACCCTTCCTTACAGCCATACAGATCCAGCACCATTTTGGTTATAAAAAGTGAACTATATTGGTGCTTTGTATTACCAGCTATTTTTTTCTTCCTATTTTAGAGGTATATCACCAGGTGAAACTATTATACCAAAGCACCTCAGCATACCATTCTTGTACATATTTGCTGTAATTAAGAAGGGGGGAATGGATACAGTTTTTTCCTAAGCACGCCTACTAGAAATTTCTTTGCACTAAGAGGATTTCACAGACTATTTCTCATTCTTGAATATCTTTTCCATCAGCACAGCTTTAAAAATTTCTTTTTCTTTTCTGACAGGGAGGAAAAACCCAACTATTTCCACATGTTGTAACAATCTAGAAACCTTACATCTTTTTACACATTAAAGGGCTTTCAGTCTATTTAAGGAAGGTCTCTAGCAGCTCTGTTTGTGTATCATTTAAAGTCCCTGAAACAGAAGCTTGCCAGGCCATCGAAGAGGCAGGGGAAGGAACCAGGTGCTTGAGGAGAAGCAAGACCCAGTGGCAATACCTCAATTAAACAAAGTTTTTTTTTTCTTCAACAGGTTGCACATGCCATTTCACTTCAGTCCCTTGCAAAGGGTCAGCCCCAGCTCTCTCCATCACTCTGCCCCTGAGCAAGAAGGGATAATACTCCGCAATTTGGGAGCACATCCCTCCTACCAGCTCAGATTATTTTGCCACCTTAAGTGCTTTGCTTAAAGCCACAGTTTCTGACTTCACATGAAAAGCATGAGGCTGGTTTCACCTGGAGAACAAAGCAGAGCAGTGCCCTGTCCTGCTTGTTGGAAACAGGATGAGAGATAGAAGAGAAACCCCGGCAAACACCAGGGAAGATGGAAGAGCACTGCAGAGGGGTATTGCAGCACATCAACTGCCCCCGGAACGTCCAAGCAACACAGGGCAGCCAAACCCCACCTCCAGGAGGATTTCCACCACTTTGCTAGAGAGTCCCAAGCATCCAGGGACCAACTCCGGAGCAACATGAGCCACAAAGAAGCCAACCTAGAGATATCCTCCCTCTGCATGTAGCTCCACACCGCACCAGGAGATGTGCAAGGCTCACAAATAAAGAAGTTTCCAGTGCATCATCCAGGGCTGATGGACAGAAATGCTGCCAACAGAGGAGAAACCTCTGTGCAGAGACATGGCAGAGGCTGGCATGGGTGTTGGCATTAGTCATGGTACAGACTGTGCCAGCACCCAACCTCCTTTTGAGCACAAGCACCCAGTCCTCCCCCCCTCCTACTCAGCCTCTGCCCAGCCTATAGTTGCTGTGGTACCAATTCTTTACAAGCCAGGAAACAGCTCACACAGCCATGGAGGGCCAACAGTGTCATGGTTTAACCTCAGCTGGCAACTGAGCACCACACAGCTGCTCGCTCGCTCTCCCCCCACCTGGTGGGATGGGGGAGAGAATCAGAAGGGTAAAAGTGAGAAAACTCATGGGTTGAGATAAAAACAGTTTAATAATCGAAATAAAATAATAACAAAAGAATATACAAAGCAAGTGATGCACAATGCAATTGCTCACCACCTGCTGACCAATGCCCAGCCAGTCCCCAAGCAACAGCCCCCCTGTTTATATACTGAGCATGACATCACATGGTATGGAATATCCCGTTGGCCAGTCTGGGTCAGCCGTCCTGGCTGTGCCCCCTCCCAGCTTCTTGTGCACCTCCAGCCTTCTCAATCAGTAGAGCATGGGAAGCTGAAGAGTCCTTCACTAGTGTAAGCACTGCTCAGCAACAACTAAAACATCAGTGTGTTATCAACATTGTTCTCATCCTAAATCCAAAACACAGCACTGTACCAGCTACTAGGAAGGAAATTAACTCTATCCCTGCCGAAACCAGGACAAACAGCCACCCTTCCTGTTGGGAAAAGGCATCACCTCTGCCAGGTAATGCAGCCTCCGCCTGAAGATCAGCTGCTGTAATTTGTATTTTGCTCACTGACTCATATCATGCATGATTTGGTGTTGAATGCAGCAGCACATTGGGTCAGGCTTCAGCACCCACTGGCAATGGGCACCACTGGGACAAGCTGCCACGCTCACATGAGCGTGAAGCCACCAGTGCCCCACGTGGTCCCCTTGCTCCAGCATCACTGCAGCGCACCAAGACACTGCTATATGCATGGGCAGACATGGGGAGATGGGGCACTATAATATATGGAAATACAGGATAAGATGAGTGTTGCCCCCAAATAAACCATGTAATTAAAGAGAAGAAGGGCAGAAGATGTCCAGAGACCAGGGAGGGCAAG